CAGTTTTGCTGGGTAAGTGATATATGTCTGTAAGTATATATTCTTTGCCTTCTGTAATATGATTTTCCAAGTTCCACATTCTTTTATAGTAATAGCTGCTAAATTGTGTGTGACCTAATTTACTATGGCTTCTCAGAACTTGAATTCTCTTTTATGGCTGTTTATAGTATTTTCTTTCTTTGCCCTGGAAGCTCTAGAGTTTAGCTATGATGTTCCTGGGAGTTTTCATCTTGGGTTCTCTTTTGAGATGTATCCGGTGTCTATTTCTACTTTGTTCTCTGGTTCTAAGAGATCTGAAAAATCTGAAAATTTTCCTTACCTAGGTCATCTTCCCTCCATACACCCCATCCCCTCCCATCATCTCTAGCAGATTGCCCCATTGTGATCCCTATTTGATCTTGTCATCAACCTCTCCCTATCTAGCAGCTCCTTTGCTTAAGAAAAAAAAACTCACTTGAGCTAACCATCTATGATAGCTATGTCACCTTGGAAGCTTAGTAGAAGACAGGTTGAAGTGAGGAGGGACTTTGGATTTTTCTAAAGCATAGGTCTGACCATGTTTACCTCTCTTACTTAATGGACTTCAGTGATTTCATGTTCCCTTGGGATCTGATGTGAATGCACCCTTTTGGTATTTGCAACTCTTCATAACCCCTTCCCATCCTATCTTTCCAATCTTATTGCACTTTACTCTTTTCCACAAACTCTGTAACCCAGTTACTTACTATTCCTCATGCATGATGCTCCATTTCACTTTCTATTTTTTTGCACTGATTTTCCCCTCGTGTATGAAATGTTCTTCCCCCTCATCTCCACCTCTCAGTGTCTCTTGCTTCCTCCAAGACTCAACTCAAATCTCTCTTTCTGCAGGAGGAATATTCTGATTGCTTCAGCTGCTAGAGTTTTCCACTCTCAAATTAATTTCCATCTAATCTAACAAATAATATATATCACATATATGTATGTTGTATTTGCCAGGTTTTTCACATGTTGTCTCTTCCATTGGAATGTATGTATCTTGAGAGCAGGGGCTATTCCTTCCTTTTTTTGTAACCCCAAAATTTATAACAATGCCTGGTATGTAATAAATGGTTAACAAATACATATTTACTATTGACTGACAGGAGGAATGTGAGGTGGGAACATGACAGCCCTTAGACCCCTAGACTTACATGGTATCTCTGGCCTTTGAGTCAGGAGGACCTGAGTAAATCCAGCCTTGACACTTACTAGCCATGTGACCCTTGGCAAGTCATTTAATCCCAATTGCCTCACAAAAATATAAGGTTATTATTTTTTTTAAATGGCAACTAGGTGGCATAGTGGATAGAGCTCTAGCCTCGGAGTCAGGAGGACCTGAGTTCAAATCCAACCTTAGTTGACACTTACTAGCTTTGTGACCCTGGGCTGGTCACTTAATCCCAATTGCCTCACAAAAAAAAAAAAAGTAAGGTAGTACTATGACCCTAGGTATTGACATCTAGAGAAAAGCCCTATTCCAAACCACTCCATTTATGGCTCCAAGAATAAGACATACAAAAATAATCAAGATGCATCCCTATGTACCATTAAAAGCATAACAGAATTTTGTCAGCCAGGCCTGGGCCTGCCTTTCCTCCTATCCTTACTGTTATCCCACAACCCCTGTGGAGATTTTGGGCCAGTCAAGGATCACAAAACAGGAGAATGGTAATTTCAGCATCGTCTCATAGAGGTAGTATCTCTATGTACCTGAAACAAAAAGCCCTTTCTTACTTAGTTATAGAACTAACAATAAGACATACAAAGATCATTCACCTGTAACTATTTCCCTTTAAGATAATACCATGATTCTGTCTACTAGGAAGCTCCAGGTAAAGTGCTTGAAATGCAGATGCATCCTTCACTAAGATAGGTTTGCCCTCTTTATAAGAGGAAATTGACTCTATTTCCTTTCCTCTAGACTTAAAGCAACTGCCTCTGGTCACTGGGTCATAGCTGGGGTGGGGGAAGAAGGGGGGTAATGCAAGCAAGAGAGTATGGAGATGTACCTTCAACCAAGTCATTTTTACTCAGTGCTAGAAATGTCATTCAACCTGGCTATGAGCTAGTAATAAATTTGTTTGAATTTTGATGTGTGATTCAAATTCACATTATTGCCTAAAGGTAGTACATTGGGGTCCTGAAAGTTAACCCTTGGGAAATCCCCTGAGGATTTGTCCTGTTGATTAATGTAACCAGACATTTTGTTCTCTCCAAACACAGCTTAGAGAGCATTCATCTCTCCCTAAGACATTTGACTCTGGAAACAGCAATGAAAAGTGCAGAAGTTTCAGTTAGCCATGCTTTTTCATATATTATTCTCTCTTTCTGCCTGCTTGGAGCACTAGCCTGACATTTTTCTTTGTTCTTATGGGCATATATCTAGCTTCCTCCCACAGATCTTTTGCATGGCAAGAAGGATACAGGCTCTAAACAATATTCTTCCCCCACAGATGTCAAAAATGCACGGGAGTGCACTGTGTGCCAGGCTGTGGGTGGCACAGAGAGAAAGGGCTAAAACACATAGCAAGCCCGAGGGGTCTCATTGATGTGTTAATGTGGTCTTGTCCTCAGCCTTGCAGCCATTGTCATTTACAATCACTTTGTAAATCAATTTGATTGTTTGGACTAGTCAGGGTTATAAGTAGCACAAATGAAATTGAAAGCAAAAGTCCTGTCCTCTAGTAGATTATAGTTTAGAGGATGTAGCCTGGCAGGCAGATGGGAAAATGACATCTGAACACTTACACCACCCCCACCCCCAAAAGAGACAAAGCAAACGCCACCTGCAAACTAATAGAACTCTATGTAACTTTAAATATAAATTTGGAAAGATAAAGAAAGGGGAACAATGTGTTATAGAAGGTAGTATAATCTAGTCTGGAAATACATCCTTGATATTCCAATGCCCCTAAGAGATAATAGGCACTTTGTTAACATGCACTGACTAATTAGCTATCATTGTCCTTGGAAACTTAGGCTTTCTTATCATCTGCATTTCGTGAAGAAGTCTAATGACTTGGAAGATCGAGGGAGCTATGTAGGCCGGGTTCATCTCTGTGAGGAATGTTTTGGATCTATTTTTGATTTTCAACTAATACCAACTCTTAGTAAAGTTGAATTCACAACCAGATCTCCTTATGGTAAAGTTGAATTCACAACTCCATCTCCTTACCAATAATGTAGATTTATGAGTATTTAGTTTGAAGGGGAGGGGAAGATTTCTAGACTCAAATAAAACTTAATTTTTAATTCATAGGGCACCATGTAGATGGTGATGAGTTACAAGAGTCCAGTTCTAGTAAGGAGAGCATAAAAGGAATTATCTTAAATTTAATCAAGTAAATTGCAGATTACAGGTTAAATGAAGCGAGAATTCATTCCCACCAGGAGTTCTTCTAAAGGCAGAGAGCTACTTGCTTGCCCCAATGTCCTAAGACTTAGTAGTCTCTTACTGATTGCTGAAAATTGCCTGCACGGTAGCTCCTCTAACATTCGATAAGCTTTGTCAGGAAAAAGTAAATAAATTGAGTTCCCATTCTCCCCCAACATCTTTCAACTGGAATTTCACTTTCCAACTTTTTCTCCTTGAACCCAAGAGCAAGTACAAAATCTGAGGTCCTGTGAGTTCTTTTCCATCTTAAATACTCTGAAATAAGTGAAAAAGTCTCACCACCCAGTGGTACATGGTATTAACAAATGTGCAAAGATGCTGGTTTGAGGGATTAATGACCTTGAAATCAGAAAAACCTGATTGTGAGTCCTAAGTCTGCCAGCTGGGGGACTTTGGGAAAATGGTAGAATGTAAGCTCCTGGGGGGCAGGTATTATTTCATGTTTATCTTTCTATGTCTATGGCTTTACACCAATAATTGGTACATAATAAGAAGCTGATAACTTTTTTGATTGTTTTTTTAATTGGCGTTACCTTGGTGAAGCTCAGTTTCTTTACTTATATAATAGGGATAATAATGCTTGTACTTCCTACCTCATACAGTTGCTGTGGAGAGCAAATGAAATAAAATGCATCGTGAGCTATAAAGACCTATGGAAATCTACCGTTTGTTTGTTTTTTTGCTTTGTTTTGTTTTTGTTAGGCAACGGGGTTAAGTGACTTGCCCAGGGTCACACAGCTAGTAAGTGTTTTATGTCAGGGTCCAGATTTGAATCCAGGTCCTCCTGAATCCAGGGCCAGTGCTCTATCCACTGTGCCACCTAGCTGCCCCAGAAATCTACTGTCATCACTATCATAACACAGTGCTACATAAATGTTAGCTTGTAGTAGTAGTAGTAGTAGTAGTAGCAGCAGCAGCAGCAGCAGTAGTAGTAGTAGTAATAGCAGTAACAGTAGCAATAGAAGTAACAGTAGCAGCAATAGTAGTAGTAACAGTAGCAGTAGTAGTAACAGTAGCAGTAGTAATAGTAGTAGAAGTAGCAACAGCAGAAGCAACAGTAGTAGTAAGAGTAACGGTAGTAGTAGTAACAGTAGCAGCAGCAGCAGTAGTAATAGTAATAATAGTAATAACAGCGGCAGAAGTAGTAGTGGTAGAAGCAATAGTGGTAGTAATAGTAGCAGTAGTAACAGTAGCAATAATAGTAGTAGTAGTAATAGTAGCAGTAGTAACAGTAGCAATAATAGTAGTAGTAGTAATAGTAGCAGTAGTAACAGTAACAGTAGTAGAAGCAGCAGAAGCAACAGTAGTAGTAACAGTAGCAGTAGTAGCAGTAGCAAAAGTAGTAGTCGCAATAGCAGCAACAGTAGCAGCAGTAGTAGTAGTAACAGCAATAATAGTAGTAACAGTAGCAGCAGTAGTAGTAGTATCAGCAATAGCAGCAGCAACAGTAGAAGTAAGTCGAAATCTAGCTATTATCAATCCAGTCTAAGAAACCAGTTTCACAGGCATGCAACCCCAAAACTAAACTTGCAAAGAGATGAACTAGGAGGCATACGGTGACTCTGAGTTTGTTTTCTTTCCACAGAAAATACTTTAGGAATGACTACCACCCCCTACGTCAAGGAACAGGGAAGCTCCAAAGGTCTGTTTCTCTATGTCTGGAATGGGAATTATGACCCCCCCTCCTTTCCCCCCTTCTTTAGAATAAAGCTATAAGTCTTTCAGAATGGGATGATTCCATGGAAATATTACAGAGAGAAGAAAAATTTCTGCCTGAGTTGCATTGTCCAGATATTCCTGTGTTTGCCTGCAGTGGCCAGGAGTGACTTAAGTGGCAAGCACGGCCGCTCAGATTCAGTATTTTTCTCATCCATTCTCCCCAGGAATCCCATAAACATTCCTGGGCCTGTCTCTGAGTCTGTAAGAACAAAATTCACCATTTGCGGGCATACATGACCCAAGTCATTTCTAATAGCTTAGGTAGTTCTCCTATAGGAGAATTTCTATCTAACATAGGCCCTAGGGGGTGGGGGGGTGGAGTAGGGAAGATGGAGGAAGAAGCTAGGGTCTTAGTAATAAGTAAGCTTTATTCCAGAAATGGCTTAAATGGGCCATTATAATGGGATGAGGCCATGAAACCACAATTATCACTGAACATTTGTGCTAACTCAAGATACAATATCTCTCTCTCTCTCTCTCTCTCTCTCTCTCTCTCTCTCTCTCTCTCTCTCTCTCTCTCTCTCTTTCTCTCTTTCTCAAATGACAGACTCTGGAAACACAAGCTCCCTTGTGACCAACTCCTCTTATTCCAGTGAGTAAATATGAATCTTTATTCCTTGAAAAAGGCAGTGTGGTCAGGAAAAGGTGGTATCCTGTGTGTGTGTGTGTGTGTGTGTGTGTGTGTGTGTGTGTGTGTGTGTGTGTGTGTGTTGGTGAGTATGTCCAGCATAAGGGGAGCAGTTAGAGCCCAGGTAGCCTTATCTCCAACCTAAGTGAACCAAAGACCCCATTATAAAACCAATCTAACATCCCTGCTGTTAGAATCCCCTCAGAGGGAGGTAAGGCTTAACAAGCATCCAATCTGCATTGCTCTCTCACCCTAGGGCACTGCAATTACTACCAAAGATGAAGGTTGAATTGATATGACAGAACACAGATGTCCCATAGAGTGCAAACCCCAAAAGCCATGTATAAGTGAATATTAACAGACCTTCGGTTTAACACGTCCACACACATACAAAACCTTTCTGATTATTTCCCTTTAATGGATGTATGGGTTCATAGAATTTGTACATTTTACTTTTAAATGTCTGGAGCTAAGTAACTAATGTCTGGAGCAAGTAAGAATAATTAGAAAATTCATGAATTGGAGCTCTTGTTACATAGAGTGAAGGACAATAAATTGTTAATTTAATCCAAGTATTTGCACCTGCAGTAATAATAGCTAACATTCATACATCCCGACTATGTGTCAGGCACTATGCTAAGCATTTTGCGGTTATCTCATTTGATTCTCACAACCTCCATGGGAGGTAGGTGCTGCTATTATATCCATAAGAAAACTGAGGCAAACAGAGGTTAATTGACTTGCCTAGGGTCACACAGCTAGTAAGTGTCAGAGGCCAGATTTGAACTCAGAGTCATCCTGGCTCCAGTTCCTGTGTTCTATCCACTGTACTGCTTAAGTGCCCCATGAAAGACAGGAATGGCTTCATTTCCCAACAAGGTCCCAGTGAAATCCAAACATACCTGTTAACTTGGGCATGTTTTCATTCATAGATTTTCATGAATATTGATGACCTTACTTTAATTCCAGTCAATTCAACCTAGAGGCTTACAAGGTGCCTAGCCTTTACAGTGAAGTATAAACAATCCTAAGTAGATATTCTCATTTCCTGGTGAGGGAAGAAGTCTTTTTTTGCCAGGACTATCTAAGGCTTGGAAAATATGACAATAGAACAGAAAAGGTTGTGTTTCTCTGATACCACACGCATGCATACAAACAAACACATGTATACAGGCATACACATCATATATACACATGTATGTATGTATATATACATATATGTGTGTGTATGTAAAATGAGTATATATGTACACACACACATACACACACACACACTCTACTCTTCATTGCATAAGCCTTTTCTCAGAATTATTTCTCTTACCTGGGAAATATCCCATGAAAAATTATGACGAAGAAACAACCCAAAAAAAACTGTCCCATTCTGACAAGGAAGTTAGCAGAAAAATTCTTACTGATCTTACTGATCCAAATTGTTGCAGGAATATTCCTTTGTTTTTAACAGAAGTCATTTTCTCCTGAACATTAAAAGCATAATCTTAATTTTTCACTGAATTGAGACTATATCTTGTTTCCTTTCCTGCCTTCTCTTCCTTTGAAGGGGCACCATTTGTGTGTGTGTTTGGGTGGGGGGAAACCTGTTTCTTTAGAAGTCTTGAGTTGTGCTAGAAACAATGCCCAATTGTGCTATACATGTACAATCACTAAATTACCTCTAACATCATCTGAGCTATGAGCAAATCTACATTGCTGGAGAATCCTGTACCTAGATTCCTTTCCAGCTGTAAGTACCCTAGCCCTACTCCAGTTTTTTGAAGAGGAGCTAAGAATTATTTGGAGGACTGGTGCAGGGAGGAAAGTGATAGATTTCCCTTCTGCTTGGAAACTATTTTTCCCCCAGAAAGGTTACAAGGCTGACATCAAGTGGATTAATCTGAAATAACAACTATAGAATCAAAAAACAATAGAATCTTAGAACTGAGATGTTGAGCATTTGGTCCAACTCATATCAGAACAGGAGTCCCTCATAAAATGGACCCAATAAATGGCTGTTCAGTCTTCGCTTGAGTATCTCTAAGGAGAGGTAACTCACTGCCTGCTGAGAAAATTAGGAAACTTCTCTTTAGCTTGGCCTCACTATAACTTCTACTCCTGGTTATGGTTTCTGAGACCAAGCAGCATAAGTCTAACTTCTTATTCACATGATACTCCTTCCTATCCTTGAAGATGGTTGTCATATAGCCCCTCACACTTTCAGCAGACTAAGCATCTCTTTTTCTTTCAATCAATCCTCATATGGCTCAGTTTCTCATCCTTATATCATCCTGATTTCTCCCCTTTGAACTTGCTCCCATTTTATCATTCTATTTCCTAAAATGTGACTCCCAGGAAATGAACACAAAATACAGATGTGGCCTACCTAAGGTAGAATAAACAACCAGCAGTAGCAGGACCATCCCCTGCCAACTTCTGGGCTTTCTGGGCCTTCTGCCACTCTCAAGGTAGCCTAAGTTCCAGTGATTCCCAAGCCAGACTGTTTACTCAAAAATTGGGCCTGTATTTCATAAAAACTCCAGGTCTTTTTCTACATAAAGCTGTCCTCTGGCTACATTTGTACCATCCTATACTCAAACAATTTATAAACCCAAGTTCAGGGCTTTCATCTATTCCAATTAAATTTCAGTTCCTTAGATTTAGCCCATTGTTTTTGGATCCTGATTGTAACATCTGTGACATTAATCAGCCTTCCTCACTTTGTGTCATCTTGTAGATTTGGCACCAGGGGAAGACAGAAAGAGAGAGAGAAATAGGGGCTGGGGGGAGAAGGAGAGGGAGAGACAGAGACAGAGAGATAGAGACAGACAGACAGACAGCAGCAGAAACAGAGTGAGAGAATTTTAATACCTCCTAAAACTATATATGACAGTCATCCTTTCATTGACATTACCAGTAAAAAAATAGTTACTAGCCCCAAAGCCAAAGAGATCCCTGGGGCACTCCATTAGACAGATTAGATAGATAGATAGATGATAGATAGATAGATAGATAGATAGATAGATAGATAGATAGATAGATAGATAGATAGATAGATGGATGGATGAGTGGGTGGATGAATGGATGGATGAATATATAGAAACAGAGATATATCCACGGGTCATTCAACCATTTCTGCATCCACCAAACTGTTTTAGCATCTAGGCTACATCTTCCTATTTTATCCACAAGAAAGGTATGAGAGTTTTGTCCAATTCTTTTGTGAAATAAAGATATGCCATGTCTTTGGCATTCCCCTGACGTTCTAGTCAAGTAATATTGTTAAAAGAAAAAAGAAGTGATGTTAGAGACTGGCATGACCTATTCTTAAAGACATCATACTTGTTCTTGGTGATTATTGTCTCTCCCTTTATAGGTTTAAAGGATTTTTTTTTAAATTTTTGATATCTTTTGTTTTCATACCACCCTCATTCCAAATATATCTCTCTACCCACAAAGCCATTTCACCTGTAATAAAGAATAAAAAAATAAGAGGGGAAAACTACTTCACTTTTTAAATACCACAAACTATCTGTTCTTTTAATAAGACATTCTAGAATTTTTGCCAGGAATCAAAGTCAAAATCAATGAAGACTCCACTCTTTCTTTAGGGACACATTTCTATCTCTAAGACCTGTGGCACCTCTTCCATTTTTTACAGTTTTTCAAAGACCACTGACAATAGCTCAGGAATCACATCTGCTATTTTATTCATCATTCATGGATATACAGGTGGTCTCTAAAATCTTAGTGCAGCTTCAGGTTGAGCTAAGAATTTGGAGACACCCTCTATGGCTCTTCTGGGTCTATCAACTTTAACTTGTTGAAAGCAGCAAAGTGTTCTTATTACCTTGCAACTTAACTTGGGAGCCAACTCTCCATTTCCTATAGTTCTATCCTTTTCACATGAATAGCATTCCCCTTGGTAAAGACAGAAGCAAAATAGAAGGATTGAGTAGTTCTGTCTTCTCTTTATCTGTTGTCATCATCCCATCCAGTATGCACAGCTGTCTGATCGTCTTTCTCTTTACTTCAACATAGTGGGGGGAAAGACCTTTTTTGCTGTTGTCTTTCATAGTTATTGCCAGGTCAAGTAATTTTGAGTGTTCCCCTGCTCTTCTTAAAGGAGCATGCCCATTCTGGTATCCAGCCTCCTTTTCTTTGGTATATATCCTTTAGGGCACTTCTCCAGAGCAATTCTTCACAGGTAATATGTTGTAGCTGAATCAGGCTCCCTGTGCCTTTCCAATATGCTTTGCATGACTTGTAATTAAATCTCCAGACAGTGTGGTGCTCTGTAGCCTTGCATCACTGGAAGAATGTGCTATTAAAAAGATGAGATTTGGTATCAGGGAGAAGTTTGGGACTATTAAAAATACTACACAGTTTCTCAAATCCAATCTAGCCCCTCTCCCATTCATTTCTGGGCTCAGTTGAAGGTCAATTCACAGTGTCCATCTGAGATACATATATTCATAGACTAGCCAGGGGTGGGGAACCTGAAGCCTCAAGGTCACATACGGCCTTCTAGGTCCTCAGGTGCAGCCTTTTAACTGAGTCCAAGTTTTACAGAACAAATCCTTTTTTTTTTTGGCTAGGCAATGGGGTTAAGTGACTTGCCCAGGGTCACACAGCTAGTAAGTGTTATGTGTCTGAGGCTGGATTTGAATTCAGGTCCTCCTGAATCCAGGACCGGTGCTCTATCCACTGCACCACCTACTTGCCCCTACAAATCCTTTTATTAAGGGCATACAAAATTAAGGGGAACAAATCCTTTTATTATTTTACTTAACTGCATATCATAGTGTGGAGAATAAGTATTCCCTATCTGCTTGTTTTTATTTTCTGCTGGGATATTTAGACCAACTTCTTTTGGAAGTCATTTAAAAGACTCAAATAGTCCCATGTGAAGAACTTCACAAGCTCTGGAGAATCCCTCTTCCATTTTAGACTGCAAAGCCTTTTCTACATGTCGGTTCGTTTTAGTTCAGAAAAATCATTTTTATTGGGCTCAGAACATCACTTCAGCTGATGGCAACAAACACTCCTCTCCCAACCCCAAAAACAAACAACAGCAAACAACTAACAACTACCACAACTATAAGTACCAGCAGCACCAACACCACTGTCACCACCCAGACAAACAACCCCCAGAACAGTATCATCCAGCACTTTTAAATTCACAATTTGGTGTGGTTTTGTAGTCTTACAATACATTTGATCCAACTTGTAACATCACATAGTCATGCCAAGCAATTGGTAGGATAATAATAATAGCCAGTATTCCCATAACACTTTAAGGCTTACAAAACCCTTGGAAAACACCATCTCATTTGATACTCACAGTAATCCTGAGAGGTAGGTGCTACTATAATTCCCTCCCTTTACTGATGAGGAAACTGAGGCAGGCAGAGGTTAAGTAATTTGCCTAGGGTCACATAGCTAGTAGGTGTCTGAAGCTAGATCTGAACTCAGGTCTTCCTGCTGTCCAAGTCCAGAGCTCTATCTAATACCTAGGTATGCAGTGAGTAGAGTGCTAGACTTGGGAGATGGAAACCTGAGAGAAAGTTTTGAGTAGAAAAACAATGTGCTGCATCTTCTCACCCTTTTCTCACCTCCCCAATGATCAGACCATAGATTCGTATTCTCAACTTTTAACTTCTTTGCTTCACCAAGGCAAAACACAACTAAATGAACTAAAATTGCTATTCACAAATTTAAAAAGATTGACTTTTCTCCGTGTAAAGAGAAGGGGGCATGCTTTTTACTAAACAATAGAAGGCAGATAAGACCTACCTTATGCCGTCTATCTCACAGAATTATTATGAAGATATCAAATGAGTTTGTGTGACTCGCCTTTGTAGACAATAAAGTGCCACATAAATGCAAGATGTTATTAATGTTAATATTTCCTAAGTTTCCCGGAATCATACAGCTTCCTTGCTCATTTCAGGTGTGATTTTACCAGTGGTTATTGCTCTGATAGCAATAACACTCTCAGTATTCACTCTGGTGGGATTGTACCGAATGTGCTGGAAGACAGACCCAGGTATGTGGTTAATATATATTTTTGTAGGGAGGATAGAGGCCCATCTCAAATTATCCTAGCGTTTGCCAACTTTAAGTCTCAGTGAGGCAAGATGTATAATACTAGGAAGGGAAGGAGAGCTATCATTTCATGATTGGGAAGAATTTTGCCCTCCTCTTCCTGAAGGGCCAGAGAAGAAGCATCCTTTCCCTATAAGCTTGTAAAGGTAGGGAGTAGGAATGTTATGTTGATGCTTCAACATTTAAGGAACCATTGGGTAAATGTTTAAATGCACAACATTATTAAGGGAGATTTTTAAACCCACTTCCTTGCATAGAAAAAGGGTCCTTGCTATCCAATACAGTTACACTTTTGCAGTCAGGAGTGTTTTGGCCAGTATAACCACATAATGTATAGAGCGCTAGACTTGGAGTTAGGAATACCTGAGTTTCAATCCCTGTCTCAGACTCTTAATTAGTTGTGTGACTGTGGGCAAGTAATGTAACTTCTTTGAGCCTCAGTCTTCTCATCTGTAAAATAAAGGGATTGGACTCAATCTCTTAGGCTCTTTCTAGTTCTAAATCTACGGTTCTAACCAGGAGCCCAGTATTTCAAAGGAATGGGGTTCTCATTTGACATTTATTTTTTTAAATATCACATAAAATGGCACCCTTGATACTAAATATTTCATTGAAGAAAAGCCTACCAAACCATTATCAGATGTAGAAAAAAATCAATAGCAATTATTTTTATAAGACATACAAAACCACAGTGTTCTGGCCTCTGCCAGCTGGTGAAGTGCTACTAGCTAACTCACAAATGCAGTTCCTGGGACTAATCAATGACTGGAGGGCACACAAATGGTTTGAGGCAGAGAAAGTCCAAGTTAAAATTATCAAGGAAAACCCACCATATTCATTTCAGCTCTCTGTGGGAAACTAGAAGAAAACAAATCAATCTTTCCCACTCTGCCTAGGAAGAATGTGGGAAGAGTCTTTAAGACCACCTAAAATGTGTTTCCTTAGTTTCCAAGAGGTGGAGAGAATAGCATTTTCATAAATTGATTTAATTTCCTCTAGCTTCCAAACCACCAATTCTGCCTTTCATGGGGAATCAAATAACCTAGATAAAGCCAGTGGGCATTGTCAGTATGTAATTGAAGAATGAGGAGCTGAATTCATCAGTCAAAACATTTCATACTGACAAAGTGGTTTTTCATTTGAACATCTAAAAATAAGTTATCAGAGAAGTTAATTTTTTCTGCAAATGAGGATGTTTATCTATGGACTAGGAATCTCAGAACAACTCCTCCCCCCCCCCAAAAAAAAAGAAGTTTAAACTTAAGGACGTGTAAACATGTGTTAACATACACATCTTACAGGTAAATGGGTATTCACAAAATTAGCCAACGTTGTCTGAACAGTGTTTAATTTGGAAAGGAAAAAATAGGAGTTGCTGCATGGTTATCATTATACCATTGAACACCAGGAATTAATAAACTCTTCAAGTATGTGGATGAGATTTCTCCATAAGTAAGCAAAATCCATCCTGTTAGCTCTCTATAAAATCTGAGGATGTGACATAGGGGAAAAAAGCATTGTACTTGAAATCCAAAGATCTTAGCTCAAGTCTTGAATCACCATTTACTTTGTGGCCTTGGGCAAATCATTGAATCTTTTTGACCTCCAGTTTCCACATTTATAAGATGGGAGTAACTGTCCACATGGGGAAGGCAAATTGGACATGTTCCACCTAGATCAGGTGGACACAATTGTGAAAATTGCAGAGTCCAACTTAGGCTTAATGTGAGGTAAATTTTTTCCAGCAATTGGAATTGTCTATAAGTGGAATGTCTTAGCAAATAGTAAAGGTGTGTAGGGACACAGGAATCAAATGGAACCTGGATGGTCCCTTGCCATGGATCTTGTAAAAGAAACTCCTATTCAAGAATGGGTATGGCTAGATGACCCCCCAAGATCCCCTCTGACTTTTGAGATTCTATACTTCCTCAGAGGGGTATTGAGCATATCAAATGAGATAATGCATGTAAAAAATGCAGAGTGAACTATAATAATTAGAGATTTAGGAATAATAACAAGATTCTCAGAGCCTAGCATACTGCCTAGCACATAGTAAGCACTTAATAAATGCTTGTTGATTAATTGTCCAGATAGTGTGGACATTCCCCAAATTGTGGTCATGTCTACATTATGATCTAAATAGTTTAAAAAAATCAATTTGGAATTGTAATGGGAAATTCAAATGAGGAAAATTATTCAGGACCATTTAAAATCAATGAATATATACTGGTCCAGTTTGAAAGGAAGTTATTAGTAATCTGGGTATGACTTATCTGTGTTTGTGAAAAGTACAGTAAACGAAACAATGAAATCATTTGAAGGTACTTGTGAGACATTCAGATTTTGAACACTTGACTTCTATGAGGTAGAAAGGCAGAAAAATAGAACTGTTATGCTTCTATTTGTTTATATTGTTTGTCTGAAGTGAGAATCAATTATTTTGAATAGTTGGTTTATTTTTCCTTTTTTCCCCCTTGGGCTATAATCCTCCATAAAATCCTCTTCCATGCTTCATGCTGGCATAGAGGTGACCCTGGGTTCTTGCTGGCTTTGTCAGCAGAGTGCAACTTCTGGCAAGTTGTACCACATCGGAAAAGCCTCAAATATGGCTGAGTGACAGACTGAGTCTGTTTTCCAAGGATCAATTTAGTTAATTTCAGAGAGGGACAGCACCAGTGGTCTGGACATCTGCCAGTGATGGGGGGGGGAGGGCACAAAGCAACCCATTAAATGAAGAAAATTAAAAATTGCTCTCAGTTCTATGTGGCTCCATTCTGCTTCTATGGTGATGGTAGGTAAATGGTGGGAATCATAGAGTTTTTAGACCAATGAAAATTTCATTTTGACTGCTGATACCTGAAATATGAGACTCTTGTGAAACAGCTAAATATATTTTGGGAAAAGCTGAATCATATTGATATTGACATTCTTACTATAAGCAAAACCAGGAGAAAGAAGTTGCAATTACATGGAACTTCTTGGGTTCATAGGTACTCCTCGGAGAATTTTTTTTTAAAAAAAGAAATTGTACAATGGCCCATATAGTATACACAAAAACTATAAGAAACATTTCATGTAATAATGATATGTTGCAATACTAATGATGAGTATTTATAATACTCTGGGCTAGAAATCTTAGAACAACCCCCTCCAAAAAAAAGAAGTTTAAAATAATTGTAGTTTATACACCAGTGAGAGAAATGAAGGAGTCCAGATGCTTATGGATTACAAAAAAAAAAAAAAGACTCACACCTCTATATCATGAGCACTTTATTTTTTAAAAAGAGGGCTAGTTAGCACTGGACATGGAGAGCACTAAATAACAACATATGGAACAAAATTGGCTTTTTTTACACCTAGGAAAAGACCTATTATTGATATAGGAGTTATGCTTGAGTAAACTTTGTATAGTCAGGCCATTGACTTGAAGCTAATATCAGAATGTGAAGAAGAGGAAGAAGAAGAGGAAGAAGAAGAAGAAGAAGAAGAAGAAGAAGAAGAAGAAGAAGAAGAAGAAGAAGAAGAAGAAGAAGAAGAAAAAGAGAAGAAGAAGAAGGAGAAGGAAAGGAAGAAGGAGAAGGAGAAGGAGAAGGAGAAGAAGAAGGAGGAGGAGGAGGAGGAGGAGAAAGAGGAGAAGGAGGAGGAGGAGGAGAAGGAGGAGGATGAGAAGGAGGAGAAGGAGGAGGAGGAGAAAAAGAACAAGTAATAATAGTGAGAAAATGATATGGAGTGAAAATAAATTGTTAAACCCTGAATTATATTAAAAAGTAATTGAAAATAAAATATATGAAATGGACAACAGAACTGGCATGAAGACCAACTATAATCATTTCATGCAGAAGTTTAACCAATATAAATTACTGACCACAACAAGATGACCAAAAAAGCCTAGCCTTAATCTGAAGACATCTGAATTATTTGCATAACATGGAGAGAGATGGCCACCAAAGGCAACATTAGATGAAAATATAAATTCACCTTGCAGATTTTATGAAGAAGAATGATGTATGGTTATGAGCAGTGTCACCTCATAAAGCAGAGAAAGACATCAAAGCAGAAAGTCAGTTTAAGGTCAGTGTGGTAATATATCCTACTAACCAATTGTCCCAAGGACAATGAAAATTTTCCACCCAGCTGATCTCCTGGACTTCATTGTAGTCTCCAGAAACTCAACATCCTGCAAAGTTGTATCAACCCTGAACTTCACACCTCCTCAGCACCCCCTGCCCCTGGAACCTCTCCCCCCCCCCCGTTCTGATTGGGGAGGGGGTGGGGGAACAGACTTCAGAGAGCTCCTTCTAGATCCTCCATTTCTTAGGGGCCCCAGAACAGCCATCTCATCATTTCCCACCAACTTCAAGATTTCATCGTGAACTCTTGTTCTCTGGGTACCTTCTCCTCCCCCTCACCCCAACTGCCTTTTCAGCTTCTTTTTGTCCTCTCATGTTAGATAATGAGCTCTTTGAGAATACGGACACTCTTTTGTCTCTGAGTTACTTTTAGAAGAGGGAGAAATGGCACTAAAGAGAATGAGAAGAGAAAAGCAACCATATTGAACAAATATAGTGAGAGGTGATTATATTGGAGGTGATACAATTGTGAGGGCATTAAGGGACTGATTTACAAGTTTCTAAAAAAAAAGAGGAGGAAGACCCCAAATGATGGAAAATATATTGGACCTTGTTAGTATCAGAAAAAAGTAAGTTAAGAATAAGTGCATCAATGATTATTAACCTATGTGATTATTCTCCCATCTATGGGGGGGGAGGGGAAGTAAAACCTTTATGAGAGTAATCTGTATATGAATTGAAGGTACCCTTAATAAGGGGATTAGGGTGGAAGAGGTGATGGACCATCATTATCATTTTACAACGTACTGAAAGAGCAAAAGATCCCATTGTGTTATTGTTTGTTGATTGTGGAAAAAGTTTTGATTGGGTGGAACAAACCATTACCTTAAAATGTGTTTCACAGCAAACTATCTTGAATCCATAGATGAAGATCATTCAGGATTCCTTAGAATACATAGTAATAGAATTAGTCCTGTTCAGTGACCCTCTGATAATAAACATTGGTTGAGGTGTTACGCAAGGAGTTGAATGCTCAACAGATGTACTCATTTGTCATGGCGCCAGAGAAGATTCTGCCCAGAATCTGGGTCAAAGAGGAATTTCCTGTAGATGCTAAGGTCTTCCTGATTCTCCTGTTTGTGGATGACACTGTAGTGACTGAACCCAACCTCAGCCTATCAAAGAGCCTCCACCAAGAAATAGGGAATCACTCAAAGGAGATTGGCCTCTCCAAAGACCAAGTGGATGAAAAATGTCTCCTCTCGAGGTCCCACAGCCAAACATCAGAGCATGCCAGGAGCTGCTCCTAGCTCTTTAATAGCTAGGCAATGATGAAGTTATGTCAGTAGTCTGAGTCTCCAATCCTTTAAGGTAGTCAAGATTCAAGAATGGTTTCAATGCCTTAAAAAAAAATTAGGCAATCTCACAGGCAGTTAGGGGATCAGCATATTACTCACACTGCAACAGCTTTTATGTTTCCAATAATATGTGCATCTGGGATAGAGCATACAAATAGACAATGATCCTGGCCCGGAGTTGGAAAGGAGGACAGCAGGCTAGATTATGGTCAGAATTCTCCCCCTTGTCTCCTCTTTGACTGAACCCAAGCTTCCTATGCAAGTATAGGTCCATTTTTTCAACACTAGTATTTTATTTTGGGTTCTTAATGAAAGTTAGCTGTGCATCACTGCTTCTGAAGAACTCCCATGAGTACAACAAAGAAGGTAATGGAGAAATACATGGTGGGTGTGATCAGGATGCCACACATAACCACTAAGGAACTCCAGAGAAGAACTGGAGTAAGGATGTAATTAAGAAATCGCATGCCAAGAAGAAAACATGGGCAGCTCCCATTGCAAAAATGAAGGATGACTGATGGACAGCCATCATGCTCTGTTGATACTCTTATGGTGTCAGGGCAAAATGAGGAAGGCTTGGAATTTATGTGGTAAACTTTGGGAAGAATGTGGACAAGAGTCTCAAAGGATGGGCTGGCAGAGATCGACTGCAATCTGAAAATCTGAATCATTTCAGGGAGTCAACATGCAAACAACTATGTACATATGTATATACATACATACATATGCATGCATATATATACATATAATACAGAGGGAGACATACACACATATGTATGAAACACTCTCAACTTTTTACAAAGGAATATTTAGTTTAGAGTGTATAATAACAAATATACAAACTTACTCCCCCTTTCCCCAACACATGGGAGGCACATTCTTCTTCCCCTCTGCACCACCTCAGTGTCTGAGGAGGGGAAGAGGATTAGGTTACTAGCTTAACTTGGTTCCCACAGAGCACAGGCACACATAGATGTGTATCTATGTGTGTGTATACACACATGCACATACATGTGTGTATATATATGTCTGTACATATATACATATACATACACACATATAGTAATGGGAGGTAATCTCAGAGGAAAGGCACTTAATAAAAGGAGGAGTAAGGCTACAGAAAAGTCCACGTAGCTTCAGGAAGGAGAAAAAAAATAAGTGAACTCAAAAAATAAAAAATCCTTTTGGAAAGATGGCCAAAGAAAACCCTCACAACAGAACAGTACAGAGACAAGGTCCTTGTGAAATGTGGAGACCCAAGCAAGGGACAAAGCCATGTTTGTTTGCCAGTATAGTCAATTCAAAAGTAAAATTCCACACCCCTATGTGTTTTCCACCAGATGAATCCCAGTACATTTGGGGACCTAGCTGCATTTTATTAACTTCAGCAACATCTTGGGTGACGTTTTTGTGGGGCTAGTTCCGACTATTGCCTTGAGAGATAATTGCTAGCAGGAGTTTGCGGTATTGCTGCTCAGCAAAGACTGTGATTTGCATCCCGAGCAAGAGAAATGCACAAAGGAGAAAGTGGAAAATCCAATTCTCCTGTCTGGAAAGTAATTTAATCCATTGTGCCTGGGAGCACTAGAGTGACATTAGATATTTGTAGGGCCTGCCATAATGGGCAGCATGCTCACACAGCGGCATGGAATCACAGGGCCCCAAGAAAAACTCAGAGCTCTCTTGTTTGGGAGCTAAGATCTCTGGATCTGGCCTAATCAGGAGGACCCCAGAAATTCCTCAGTAACTAAACCCAAGGAAATAGTTTATGGGAAATAAGAAACCGTAAGTTGGCTCTAGGAACTTCAACACAGAATTCTGAAACCACACAGAATCATTCCTTAGGTATTGGCAGCTGTTAATTATTGTTGTTGCAGTTATATTTTATTTTGTCCTTCTGCAGCCAGGGATTGGATTAAAAAATCTCTAAGATTCCTTCCAGCTGGAAAATTCTATGATTCTAACAAATCACCTCTTGTATTTTATTCCAGGTACACCAGACAATGGAACTGACCAGTAAGTACCACCATGTTTATAATGCTGAGGGTGGGTTGATAAGAGTTGGCATGGTGCTATAAAAAGATCACTGGCTTCACATACAGAGTACCTGAGTTCAAATTCTATTTGCCTTGTTTACTTATATGTGTGACCTCAGACACATCACTTTACCTTTCTTGCTCTCAGTTTCCTCATCTGTAAAATGAGGAAGTTGGACCATCAATGACTCAATCAATAAACACTTATTACATGCCTGCTATGCACCAGGCACTGTGCTCAGCTCTGGACTACGTGACCTCTGAAGTATTTCTAGAGCTATGATCCTGTAAGTCTATTTAAAGGAAAAATATGTTAGAAAGACAAGAAGTCTATAGTCTAGAAACCTGAGAGCAACTCCCAACTCAAATATTAGGGCAAAACCATGGACTAGTTATTTAAATTCCCTGACCTTCAATTTCTTCATTAGTAGGATAAGAATAACATAGTTTTCACTTTCAATCTCAAAGGGAGTGTTGTAAGGGAAGTATTTTGCAAAACTTAAAATGTAGAAATGCAAGCTATGTGCCTCTCTTTTCAGGAGAAGTACAATACAACACAATAAACATTTATTAAGTGCCTAATGTATGCCAGGCACTATTCTAAGCCCTCACACCAAAGGTGCCAGTCCTTCCTGAGCACCAATCAGTCAAAAAATCAGCAAATACCTACTAAGCAGCTACCCTGAGTCAGGCACTGTGCTAAGCATTGGAGATTCAAAGACTTAAGTGACACACTCTTTCCTCTCAAGGTGTTTACATTCTATCAGGGGAGTCAATGTGTACATATAAAATCATATATAAAATAAATACAAGATACTTTGGTTGGGGAGGCACTGGAAGTTGGGGAGGTAAGGAAACGCTTCTTATACACTCATACAAACGCAATCATGTCAGATTGAATGGGGACAAATCCAACATAAACTGTGTTTTATCAAAGATAATTTTACATCCTCTAGAATTATGGGATTTTTAAGCTATAAGGGATCTTGGAAGTGATCTAATCCAGCATTTTGTAAATTATATTATACAGGGGATATAAATAAGGAAAAGAAAAATAGTCCCTGTCCTTAAACAGTTTACAATCTGTTAGGGAAAGGTAATGTGCAAAAGGGGGCAGGGCAGAGGGTACAGAAGGGAATAGAAAGCATAGTAGTGGGGTTTGGCAAACTAATACTTAAGGGCGTGTGGAAACTCTATATGTAGAGAATAAGAATATCCAAAGAAAGGGATGTTGGGTTGAAACATCTTAAGGACATCCAGAAAATTTATCCTGAGAAAAAGGGAAACTTCTCAATATTTAGACACCCTACAAAAGAGAAGGAGAGACAGAGAGACAGAAAGAAAGCGCAGTGTACTAGAGAATATGCTAGACTTTGGTTTGAATTCCAACCTTATAGCATTGAATTGGGTTGGGGAAAAAAATCACTTAACCTGGCCAAATCATTTACCCACTATGAGCCTCAGTTTCCTCATCTGTAAAATTGGAGGGTTGGATTCAGTGATTGTTAAGATCCTTTTCACCTTTAAATGTATGATCCTACAATAGAATTCACCAATGGAAATTTATAACATATAAATGAGACTAAACCAAGCCCTCAGTGCATGCTTAAAGAATAATCGTACATGACACTTGAAAGCTAATCAGCATGTCCTTGTCCCCAGGAATGACTCTGGGGCTGCAGAGTTGTTGGATGAAAAGACAAAATAGTTGAAAGCAAATAAGCTGGCCATTAAAAGCCAAGGTGAGAGAGAAAAGACCTAAATAGTTATAAAGGGGAATGACAAACCCAAGAAACCCCTTGCACATGTGCAAGTTTTGCAAAGTTGAATTAAACTCAGCCTAGAAAGACAGAAAGTTATTGTCATTCTTCTGAGTATCAAAAACATTTTAAAAAAATCTCTTTTCCAATATGCCTCCCTACGTGAACTAATAGGAAAAGAAAGAGGAGGGAGAAGGGAACATGCATTTATTTAGCACCTTCCTCAAAACAACCCTGGGAAGTAGGCACAATTATTATTCCCATTTTACAGAGGCAAACAGAGGGTTGGTAACTTGCCTGGGGTCACATATCTATTAAGTACCCAAAGCTGAATTTGAACTCAGGTCTTCCTGAATCCAAACTTGGAATGCTATCCATTTAGCCAAGTGCCCAGAAAAAAAAGTGGGAACATTTCTATCTCCTTTACTTAATAGATTGGAGACTGGAGACTTAATAACATTTACTTTGAATTTACTTGTTGGGCTTTGTTTTATCTGATGAATATTTTTGTATCAGACTGGAATAGAATCTTTTTTGATTTGGTTAAAAGAGAGACTGAAAAGACTATGTGTGTGCATGTATGAACAGATATGTTATCTACTATAGACACAAAGTAGCTTTTTTCTTGATAATATGTACTTTTTTATAAAGATAAATCATGCCAATTATTTTGGTGCTAACATAATCTTTCTAATATAAATAGGCCCCAATCAGATAAAGAAAGTGTTAAACTTCTCACTGTCAAGACAATATCTCCTGAGACCAGTAAGTACCTTTTTTTAAATTGTACATAAGCAGGATTTTTTACTTAGATTTTGTTAATGTAAAAATGACATAAAATCAACACTTTATAGGAAAGAGCCAAGTAGAAATTTTAACAAAACAGAAATCATTTCAAGGCAAGATGAACCATGGGAATTCCTTTGCTTAATGAAGATGCTGAACTAGATGACCTCAAAATGTGTTTCAAGCCTTGCTGTGGATGAGAAGAGAGAATGAGAGGTGACTTAAAGAATTTCCAGTGCCAATTATGTCAGAATTGTATAACTTGAATGACTGGTAACACAGTAATGCCATCAAAAAATAGGAAAGGAATGCTGAATTTAAGATGTCAAGACATGGGGCAGCTAGGTGGCACAGTGGGTAGAGTGTCACACCTGGAGCCAGGAATATTCATCTTCCTAAGTTCAAATACTTCCTCAAACGTTTACTAACTGTGTGGCCCTGGGCAAGTAATTTAACCCTGTTTGCCTCATTTTCCTTATCTGTAAAATAAGCTGGAGGAGAAAATGGCAAACTACTCCAGTACCTTTGCCAAAAATAAAAAAACCTAAATGGGGTCACAAAGATTCAGACATGACTGCAAAATAACACATTTGCCTTTAACTTGAAACTTAATGATACTTACTAGTTGACTATAGCCATGTATAAGTCATTCAAGCAATTTAAACCCTAGTTTCTCTATGAGTAAATTAAAGATGACAATATCTGTCATACTCAGGATACAAGATTAAATGAAGCCTCATGTACAAGGCAATTTTCCCACCTTGAATTTCAGTTGTTAGTATTAGGAAAATTAGTCCTCAGATGCATATGCAGAAGCCTAGACTTTTTGTGTGTTGAGTATGGGATGGAGGGAATCTTTAGCAGGGATCTGTGGGTGGAGAAAGGCACAGGAAAGGAAACTGATTCGCTATGTTCAGCTAGCTCTTCCTTCTGAGTCTTCTTTCTATAAGTTTACTCTGTACAAATAGTCTTTTCTTCTCTAGAAATATGATTTAGTCTTGCTTTTCTACCAGACTTTTAAACTCTGCCTTTCTATTTGTAACTTCAGCAATTTTATGCATAGTAAATGGTAAATGCTCTTTTACTTCCTCATTCAAGAAGGAAGTATGAAAATCTGAGTTTCCATCACTGCAGAGAGACAGAGACAGAGACAGACAGAGAGAAGAAAGGAGAGGGGAGGAGAAGGGAGGGAGGGGAGAGGGGAGGAGAAGGGAGGAGAGGGGAGGAGAGGAGAGAGAGAGAGAGGAGAGAGAGAGAGAGGGAGGAGAGAGACAGTCAGAGACAGAGACAGAGAGAAAAAGAGAGATGAGAAGAGAGAAGGAGAAAGGAGAGAAAGAAAGAGAGAGAGAGAGAGAGAGAGAGAGAGAGAGAGAGAGAGAGAGAGAAAGAGAGAGAGAGAGAAAGAGATTTTTTAAATTGAGGCTGATAATTTCAGTGCTCCACATATCTTTCCTTTTGCTGTGCATCCCTGATAGTCATCATGGGACTAATTCAGAGTGTGATCTTCTCTCTGGTGACTGCCTATCCTCCCTCCCCTTGCCTTACTTCTGTCACACATCTGAGGCTGGAGATTTAATCAGCTATACCCATTACAACAATCAGTTCACTTTTTTAGCCTAATGGGAATACATAGCCTCTCCCCCTGCTATTTGTGGAGTTTATTTTAGATGAAAAGCTATTAATAAAATAAACACTAATATAAATTAAAACTAATATGAATAATAAAATAACAGCAGAATAGAGCCCCCAGTTAGAAAATTTGCTAATACATGAACAAAGATTTAGCTCTCTGACCTCATTAAAACTGAATTTATTTCCAGCTAACTAAAGTCTTCTTCCATGCTCTTTTTCTTGGAGTGAACCAAGTAAACACACCTGCAATAAAAATCTTCATGACTTACTATGAGGTTTTATATGAAATTAAACTAAAGCCATTAATACCCATTAGTAAATTAAAGTGTGTCAAAATTACCAGGTATGTTTGGATTTCACAGGTACCTCATTGGGAAATGAAGTCATTCCTCCCTTTCATGGGATGGCTAGGCAGCATAGTAGATACAGCACAGTGTTTGAAGGTAGGAGGAGCTGAGCTCAAAGCTGGCCTCAGATACTTATTAGCTGTGCGAACCTGGTCAAAACACCTAACTTCTGTTCACCTCAGTTTTGTCATCTGTAAAATGAAGATAATAATGGAACCTATCTCTGAGGGCTATATGTTCTATATAAATGTTGGCTATTATTATTATTGTGAATGTTCCTGCTGAACTTAGTCTACCGTGATCAGACCTTTTTATTTTGATCAACTTTTTAATGGCAAGTAAAAAGTCCCTACACACTCCATTTCAGGCCTGCACAACATACAGCCCACTGGCTACTTGTGGCCTGCCAAGGATTGTGGGCAGCCCATGAAAAATGTAGAGCTGTCACTGTGCACTCTCCTGTTTCTCACGTGACCCACGGCAACCAACCATTGTCAGTCTGTCTCTAGCCTAACCTATCTGTGGCCCAAAGACATTCAGCCTGTTTTAATTTTGGCCCTTACCTATTGCCAATCTGTGCAGGTCTGCTCCATTTTAAGTCAGTCTGTCCAGGGACTCTTTTCTACCTCTTTTTTTAATGAACACCCACTAAGAAGTCACAAATGGGAACCCCTTTAAGAACCTATCCTATTTTGGACTCTAGATATATTTCCCAATTTAAAAAAAAAAAAACTCTTTTCCTTAGTAGCCTTCAGCCCCAAAATTTATCTTTTCTGGAAATATAATCAGAAGAATTAACTGGGGTTTTTTGACAAACATTCATAGGCTTCTCTCAACTGAGCATCTTTGCAATTTCTAGCATTAAAGTGAGCTAATAAACTACTTATATAAATAGTGAGGAAGTAGGGTATAATAATGTGCATATTTAGAAATGTATTCATTCAAAAACTATTTATTGAGTTCTCTGTGCAAAGTACCATACAAAGTATCTTGGGCAATACAGAGGTAACTAAGGCATGTTCCCTGCCTTCAAGAAGCAAGGACAATTTGGTAGCAGGTGGAGAGAGGATAAGATGCGTACAAAAATAACTGTAATAGAAGGCAAATGTGAAACATGCCACGAGAGAAATAGGGAGAGGTGTGGGTATTCAGAGGAAAGAAAAATCACGTCCTTTATGCAGTCTTCCTTAATCATATTCCCACCCACTGCCCTCAAATGAATTAGCATTTGAGCTGAGCCTGGAAGGATGGATAGATTTTTATATAAAGGAATTACAGAGGCACAGAAAGAAGGATCCTCCCTGCTTAGTACGGGGATTGGCATAGAGTAAGTGCTTAATAAATGAGTTTTCATTCATTCATAATAAGGCACTGAATTATAATGGGGATAGAAAGGAAGGAGACAAACATTTATGAAGCACCTACTATGTGCCAAGAAGTGCTCTAAGCACTTTACAAATATTATCTCATTTGATCTTCATAACAACTCTTTGAGGTACGCGTTACTATCATCCTCATTTTACGGCTGAGGAAACTAAGGCAGATAGCAATTAAGTGACTTGTCCAGGGTCACATAGCTAGGCAGTATCTGAGGGAGTAGTTGAATTCAGGTCTTCTTGACCCAGGGCCAACACTCTGTCCACTGTGCCACCCTGCTTGTCAAGAGTGGCAGGATAAAGTGAATTTGAGAGAAAGGGGATGGTCAATAATATCAAATGCTACATAGAATTCTAGGAAAATGAAGATGTTAGCAATTATGTGCTAGGAGAATTCTCAAACAACTAAACAGAATTTCCGGAGGCATAGACTTTCTCTTTTTCTGAACAAAAAAAAAAGTAAGGACAAGTAATCTCTGAAGTCACCAGCAATGTTTCCAAAAGCTTTCCATAGTAGCCCAACTTCAGCAAAATCCATGTCCCATAACTATTTCCTTTTGAGTTAAGAATATGACAAACACCAAAAACTTCTGACATAAAACCTATCCACCCCCACTTCCTTTTACAAGTTCCTTACTACGCTAGCATTCCTCAAATCAAACATTTCTTGAACTTCTAAATGTTGATTCTTGGAATTTAAGACCATTTTTGATATATCAGGCAAGGAACACAGCCCTACCACTGAATGGACATCTGAATAGATGTTCAGTAAATGGAAAAGAAAGTTAAATTATTGTGTGTGACAAAGACCATATTAATCCGAATATAGCTGCCCCTGAATATGGAACATACCCCTAAAAGAAAAGGGTTTTTATCAGTGTAGGTATATAAACACACACACACACATAACAGATATTCATAATGTATTATTATATTATTAATTATTATATTACATTATATATTATACTTCATATTATATCTTATAATAGTATATATTATATATAACATATGTTATATATAATATCTAATATCATTATATTATTAATTATTTATTATACAATATAAATGTGATTTTTATTAATTACATTATAATTATTAATTATAATATTGTAATATATTATTAACATGTTATATATTCACATTGTATGTTATATATTCATATTATATGTATGTATGTATGTATGTATGTATGTATGTATGTATGTGTATGATGTTCCAAAAGTCTTAATGTAGTTTTGTACTTCAATAGCTTAAAACTGTTCTAAGACTTTGGGGACACCATATGTGCCATACATATATATGCATGTGCATTCCTTATGTATATTATTAATGTATTTATTTATTTAGTGGGAAAGATACATTTAACATATGTAGACCATAGAAGTTCTGAGGCATCCTTATCTCAATTCACATTCCTAGCGATAAGTCACTTTCCTAAATTTTGGCTATCGCTTATTCTCAGGGCTCTAGGGGTTTTATAAGGTCAGAGGTGATTCTCTAATGCTAGAGGCTTGAGCCCCCACTGGTATGCTTCCTCTCCAAGTTTATCATTTGAGAATCATCCAACTAGCTAATCTGAATAGTTTTAGCAAGAAATATTAACTGAGGTGATACACTACGAACA